ACGAGTGTATACATCTTATCTATAATCGAAACTATAATCACGAGCGCAGTAGATATTGAGAGTAATGCATACCTGAGCACAGATTCAAGTAAGTAAACTCCAGTCCCCAGCCACGACAAGCCGTCTGAGCCCACTGACTTGGGTGAAAAGACCCAATCGAGAATAACGGGAACACCCACTCCCAGGTGGAATAGAGCGTGAAGTAGCAATAAGTAACTGAGGTAGAATAAGCACTGCAACGACACTATCTGAGATATCAGGAGAATGGGATCCCATACATATGCTCTGAAGCGAGCCATACTTGTAAGTATGCTTGTGGTGACTATTGATAGAGTGAAGCTACGAATTTAGTCAACATTCGTATCATATCAGAAGAAGAATGTGAGAATATTTACCATGACCTGTACATACTTCGTTATTTATTAAAAAAAAAATCATAGCCTACGTCTAAATTAGACAAAAAAATAGTCAAAGCATATCAGTCATATTTTTATTTATTTATATCAGCTGCCCTCAGGCCTTCACAGGCTTCAAGAAGGTGTCACCTTCACTGCTTCACAAACACATTGTTTTTTTTCTTCCAGAAACCATCGTTTTCCTGATTTTCTCTCTCTCTACTCTTTAGCTCGTAGAGAGTATTTACGTAGCCGTCTCTGTTGTTGGGAACTGAATTGAATCGACAAATGTTCGGTACTTCCTTTTATTTTCAGAAGGTGGTGTAAACGCTGGATTGCAATTTGAACTTTGTAGTTTGAGACGAGTCCATTAGTATATCTAAAGTAAACGTTTAATTTTGAAGCAAAACGGTAAACGAGAAACGAACGAAAACTGGAAAACCCCGCGCAATCCCATATGACAACCCAGAATCTATTTTATTTAGATCTTTTATTTGAAAAGGAAGCAGCTGGATCGTAAATCTGGGTATAGATAGATACAAACATATGTATATGTATGTAAAAAGAATCTAAATACTTATATATTTATGTACGATTTGCATTATATTAACACTAAGAGCCGCTTGCGTTTGGTAATACAATAATACAATCCTCCCACGTTCCGAAGATGGCGATCGTCAAATATGTGGGTGCAGCGAGCCTCTTGCTGGCCAATTCACTCACTTATGCGCACAATGAAGACGTCAATCTAAATCTTGGGCTAGAAGTATGTGTGGCACCTACAATACATGTCACTGCAAATGTATACTCATATTCATACAAGTT